TATAGGATATATATTTAATTTTTAGAAAGCTTCCCCAAAACCCCAAAACCCCGTTAGTCAAAAACCTTGAGAATAAATGATATTTTCGATTTTAATATGAATAAATTATTAATCAGCTAGCTTTTGCATTGATTTTTTCCTCGGCAGTAATTCATTCAAGCTCGATTGCACCCTAAGCCTTGAGAACTTCAGATAGTTTGTCAATATTGAAATCTGACCCTGTGATCGAGAATTGAAGAACTCCAGTGGTAATAACTGGTTTCTTGCCCTTTATCTTGAAGTCGAACTTCACCTTATCTTGAGTGTTCTTTTTTACCTCTTTCTTGCTCATTTCTTTGCAAAGATCCTCTACTTGAGGTACTTGCAATAGTTATGGATCTCCGAGGAGACCAAGAACAAAGTTGCTTCCAAGGAAAACAACACCTTTACCAAGTTATTGCATCTGTTCTGCAAATTAAGGTAGGAATGAGAAATAAATGGTAGGATCTGGCTACTCTGATCTGACAAAGAATACCCTGCCCTCATCCTTAAGCATATACTTCATTTGTAGGTTAAGGATTTATTGATCTTGTTTTTTGGCAGTTGATGAGAGTTTCTTGTAGTCGTTGAAGAATCTGGTGGCAGTGGAGAGGATTGATCCCTAGTCAACACCCCAAGTACTGCAGAGGTCAATCAAGATTTGATGCTCATCATTAAGGACTTCAATGGCTCTCTCTTGAGCAACATAGTAAAGTCTGACGATACCGTCTGAAATTCTTTGAGTCTTGAGTAATCTTATCCAGCCGACTTCAGCAGTGTTGTCACAGTGAGTACCGCAGCAAGCTTCAGTATCAACTCCTTCAATATTAACAACTCTTAGAGTGTTGCCTGGAACAATACCTCCTTAATAGAGATGGAATCCGAATTTCTTTTCAGCTTCAGCCTTATCCATAAAATACTTGTTGATTCCATGGCAATTGTTAATGATTCTATTGGCTTCATTTTCAATTGCTTTTTCCTCATCCTTAGAGAGTGACTTGAAGTGAGTGATATCTAAATGAGCTTGATCAATAGTCTTTTTAGCACCATTTTACCAAACATGGGGTCCTAGAACCTTTCTGCAAGCAGCGAAAACGATATGAGTACCAGTGTGATGGGCTCTTAGTTGATTTCTTCTAACTTGATCAATTTCAACTTTGACTTTCTTTCCTTTCAAAGCTTCGTTATCGCCTGGGATCTCTTGATCTAAAATGTGAAGTACTACTTTACCAACCTTTTCTGCATTTACTAGGTGGAATGTAGTGTCGATTCCTTCAATTCTGACTATTCCTTTATCATGCTGCTGTCCTCCTGATGTTGGATAAACAGCTGATTGGTTTAGAATCAGGATATTTCTTTTGTTTTGATCAAGAATGTTGGAGAATACATCTACAACTTCTGCGTCGAAATCAAATAAATTGTGATCCTTGTAGTAGAGGTTATCGGTCTCTGGCAAGTGAGCAGTGGAGTAAAGGATAACCTCAGGGGCCTTAGCGATTCTTTCTTGTCTCTCTGCAATCCTGTAATAAAGATCACCTGGAACGGGAAGTCCACTAATCTCTGAAATTCTATCAGCTGGAATACCCCATGATTGCATAGCAACGATCCAGTCATCGATATCAAGCTTGCCTTTCTTGGCCTTTAAGATCTTCTCGAGGTTCTTTCTTTGGACTTCATCAGTGTTCTTCCATCTGTCGAACTCTACCTTGATAATATCATCAAATGACTTGTACTCTGGGAACTTTCCATAGATACCGTCAAAGTCAATTTTATGCATCTCGAAAATCTTCAGGAACTGTTCCATTGTAATTTGTTTCCACCAATCGTTTTTCTCGAGAATAGAGAAGACTCTTCTGAGGATGTTTCTGACATTACCACCTCCACCAACATTAGCAGGGAGTGAACCGTCAGTAATTGTCATCAATATACTTCTGGTGTGGTCTAAAATAATGTATAGATCCTTAACTGGGGTGATTGCCTTTTTCAATGTGTCGACATCGACTCCAATCTTTTCTGAAAGTAAAGCCCATGTCTTTTCAACATCTTCAACTTCATCAATGTTTAATAAACATGAGTAGGGTCCGAATTTTTCCCATACTTCATTGTTGATTTCAATATTTAGTAGTCCCTTCAAGTACTCAAGTGAGTGATGGAATGTGTCAACATATGACGTGGGGGTTCCGTTGTATAACCAAGCAATACGCTCAAGACCAATACCAACATCAATAACCTTGATCTAGAGCTCTTCTCTTGTTCCATCGTGATAAGTCTTGTACTGCATAAACACCATGTTACCTACTTCAAGTCCTCTAACGAAATACTCAATTGATGGACCGAGGTTGCCACCACCAGCCCAGACATCTTCAATAAAGGTAATTTCATCAGGCTCGATTCCTAATTCTTCAGTGAGCCATCTGTAATTGAATTCAACGCATTCATCCTTAAAGAAGGTATATTTCTCTGGATAGTTGAAGACTTGAATACCAAGCATGATGAAGCCACTATAGTGACGCCCAGTAATACCAATGTTGTCAAGATCATTAAATCTAACACAGAATTGTGGGCAGATGAGGGGGTTGGCGGGAGGGTCTAATTCACCAGTGACGCAATATGGTTGGAAGCAGAAGATACCTGCAGCAACATAATCTACATCATTTCTCCAACGAGCGACTACTGGATATCTCTTGATTGATGTGCATGGGATTCTGGCACTTGTTAATGATTTCTCAAATCCTATAATAACTTTATAACCACATTTTGAAATACCTTTCCAAGCCTCAGCATATGTGATGTGCTTTCCCTTTCCAACTCCGTTTCCGATGAATGAATAAGTACCCTCACAACTAATAATTTTAAGCCTAATACTGGGTCTTACTTTGAGTCTCCGCATGTAAGTCTGGTCTCGCTGTGTCTCCAATAGTAGTTGTTGCACTTAGGGCACTGACTTCTGCTGAAACCTAGCTTCTTGAATGTCTCTACTGGGTAAAATCTTTCAGGGAATTTCTAGAATTCGGGTCTAGCCAAGGCTTTGATCTCCTACAATGATGATGATGTGTGAATGATTGATTGATGTTTGTATTTGTACCTTGGTTGTTAGACATTGTACAGTCTTTTCTTCTTCTTATGCCATATTACTTTCTAGTTGATATGTGTTAAAAGTTGAATATCTTTGTATTGTTTAATATTTTAATTTTGGAAGATGAGTTCTCCCTATTACTAGTCTATATTATAATCTTAAAAGTTATTTTGTAATTATCATTATTATTTCCAATCATATTTCGCTATTTACATTGGAGTCCGGGGTTTTGGGGTTTTGGGGTTTTGGGG